AGTCTGTGTTTCACAAGCATACAGCAGAGCTGGAAGCACGGTTGGTCTGTATACAGTCTGTGTTTCACAAGCATACAGCAGAGCTGGAAGCACGGTTGGTCTGTATACAGTCTGTGTTTCAAAAGCATACAGCAATACCAGAAGCACGGCAGCCCCGTATACGTTCAGTTTTGGATGCTGACTGAGACCACTTTGACGAAAGACGTTGATGTCTGCCAAATGTGCAGTTGGTTTTAGAGATCCTAATGATTACCTCATCGTCGATGGTGACATTATGGGCAGTGTACTAGTCAGGTACGTGAATCTATCCACAACACACACACACATATACACACACACACTTATACACTGTACAATGAACTGCACAATACATTGTACAATTTATTGCCTCGCATATTTCGATGCATCCCGCCAGGTGCATTACTACAAAGGTACATCAACAAACCAAACAAAAGTGAATAATCTAGCGTTGTGCAAACAAAAAGAACATGTGATAAATGTCAAACTTTCTTTGTACCAACGTGGCTATCTTGATTTTCCAGGTGTGACCAATGTAATTATAGAAGACTGTGATTTGTGTATTTTAGTGGAAAAGACCCACTTTTTTGTGTGCTTTATTATTTATTCATTTAACTTTCTAGTAATAGACCTAACAAGATGCAAAGAAATATGCCAGACAATAAGTCGTGCAGTGTATAGGGTGTTTTTGCATTATTTACATTTAGACACATACTATGCCACGAGTGAATGTTTCTTAAATTGTTAAATCATTATAATTGAGTAGTGGTGAATAAAGTGTGAAGGGTAAGAATTCTATTTCACATGAAAAGGAGCTTTTAACCGGAGATAAAACCACGATATGAGGGGTTTCAGAGCAAGTGGGGGGAGATTTAGCAACGAAAATGGGGAGTTTAGATGAAGATTTTACTATAATAAGGCACTTTCAGAGAAAAAAGGAGATTCAGCAATGATATATAGGGGTTGGGGGAGGGATGGGGCAGGGGCATGGCTTCATAGAAAAGTAGATTTTCCAGCGAAAAAATTTTTTACATAACAAGTCTAATTTGAAGTTATTTGGGTGCTTTTAGTTTAGTGAAGATTTTACTGTGGTATCATCATCATCATCATCAGGTGCCTTGTCGACTGGCGTGGGCGATCATGCCTCTCCATAATCTGCGATCTCCTGCAGCATGTATCAGTTTGTGTGCCGACACACCTCCAAGCCATACACTAAACTATGGTATAGAACTATTAACACACAAAAAAAGGACAGGTATTTTACAATAAAAAAGGAAATTTGACACAGTGATTTTATAGGTATGTGGAACTTTTGAATGAGCATTGTGCAATGATAGCCAACTTTCAAATGAAGATGATGCAATGATGGGTAAACTTGCAACAAGAGAATTAGCGACGATTATGGCATTTCGAATAAACATTTCACAATGATAGGGAACTTTCAAATGGAGATTTTGCACTAATAGGAAACTTTCAAAGGGAGATGCTACAATTATAGGTAAATTCCAAGTAGTATATTTTGTAGTAAGATAAAATATTACACTGACAGGGAACTTTCAAATAGAGGTTTCTACAATGAAAGTGAATTTTCAAATAAAGGTGTCTACAATAAAAGGGAATTTTCAAATGAAGGTTTTACAACGATATAGAACTTTCATAGGGATGGTTTATTACTAAGAGGGGAGTAGCAGTACGGGGTTTATCAACACAATGGGAGGGGAGATTTAAGTGTTGATTCAGCAATGAGGGAGAAGTGAAACATTTTTTGAAAAACTAATACCAACATAGGATAAATACATCTATGTGTGCTTCTCTCTCTCTCTCTCTCTCTCTCTCTCTCTCTCTCTCTCTCTCTCTCTCTCTCTCTCTCTCTCTCTTTCTCTCTCTCTCTCTCTGCCTGTTTCTCTCTCCTGATTATTCACAAATACACACACATGCACGTATCTAACAGTTAAATTCTCGACCATTTCCTTTCGAAAATTGAATTATATACAATTTAAATTTTTATAATACACTAACAATTGGGGTAATTTCAATGATGAGCCTCAAGTTGACAATGAATCGTAAATATATATTACATAATGCAAAGGTTTATCCATAAGAATAATTAAAATATGTGTCAGAAACGTGAAAGAGTTAACTAACGTTTGCACTATATATTAGTTAAGTTTTCTTCAGTGAGGTAACCGTCTTCGGAAAATAGGTGATGTCTACAATTACTAACATCAGAATATTTTGGTTGTTGATGTTAATATGAATGCTTCCTACTGCATGTTAAAGTAGCGTTACTGTGGATTTTTTTTAAACTAGGGTTTGATTTCCGTAGCGGGGGGAAATAAAAAATAAAAAAGCCTGACTCGCAGACGAGAGTCTCACCTTGAAAAAGACTATGGCATCATATAATTATTGTAAAAGACATTAGTAGATACAGATTTCAGCTGCAATGCCGTCCATTAAGGAAAGAGCATAAACATTTTCTTAAGCATATTCAGAGTACACGTAAGTTATTTTAAATTCACATTGTCTTGATATGTTGCTTGTACTCGTAATTATTTTCCCTCTCTTTTTTCTTTTCTTTCTTTATCTTTTGCTTCTTCTTTTCTCTACTCCTGGAATGCCACTTAGCGTCAGGGAAGAAAGTGATCTTGGGAACGTGCCCTTTTGTTCGGTTTGTATAAAATACTTTTCTGTGTCTGCTATTTTTGCGGTCGATTTTCTGTGTGACTGACTTCTGAATCTGTTACCGCTTACCTGTATAACATTTTCCACTGTGTTTCCCTGTCTGATGCCAATCTTGTTACATGGCCAAACCATTTGATTTGTTGTCTACCTATAAAGTGTAGTATTGGTTCTGTGCACTCTCCTCCTGATGTCATTGTTTTTAAGTCGATCTTACATTGTTACGTAAACATTTCTTTTCTGTCGTGTCTTTCTTCATCAATACCTGCTTTGTGTAGCTTGTCATCACAGTTTAACAGATGATGGGTAGCAAAGCCGGGGCTCGCTCGGCTGTTATGATGTTTTTGAGTCACAGCATGTTAAACTTCTTAAAAGTCTGCCTTTGCTTTTTGGTGTATCCTTTTTCAAGCTGTTGGCTTTCACTACGGCATAGTTGGATTAATTCTAACTAGGAGGCCGAACAACTTCAGTCTATGTCTACAGGCTCTATTCCTGGCTTCTAGGGTCGACCGTTTAGAGGCAATAATAGCAAACTTGTGAAAGTGATATCGCAAACAACCGAACCATTCTGCAATAGGTTCTGCAACGTCCTGTAAATGATACGCAACTAAGTAAACTCAACCAATTTAACGTCTATTTAATCAGCGTATACGAAGTATCATTATCTTGGGTGTGTATACACAAATGATATATTTCCAATGTATATTGATCAAACTTACGTATAGAGAATTATATTTAAAGGCACTTAGTCATACATCCTGATTTAGATTTCTTACAGCGATCATTTACATTTTACAGGACATTCCCATAAGTTTCAATTCAAATGAAAGATAATCGTATTACCAACGGCAACAGAAGTAGAACTCCAACTGTGCTCATACGTGTTTTTCAGCACTGGAGGACACACATACAAAAGTCTTTTTGTCTTTTTAAAACAATGGTAGTTATGTAGAGCTTATCAAATATATAAACATTGTTTTCATTAAAAACATTTGTATTTGTTTTATGTATGAGTACTTATGGAACAGCATGTATTTATTTATATCCAATTTGTTTACCTCTGTACACACTCATATATTGTCTCAAAAACTACTGCCCAAACTTAGGTTGCGCTCAGTCGCCATCGCCATGGCCAGTGATTGCCATGCATACTTACAGCACAATATGAACGTCGTCTGGAAAGACGGAAATGTAGCAACATAAACCACATAATACATGAATATTGTCCACATACAGAAAAAGCTGTTAAAATATTCTACAATTAAAAAAAAAAACATAATGAAGTTTCGACCATACAGGCCACAGTGACATTGTAAAAAAAAAAAAATCATGGAGTCTGGATGTAATGATTCCACGATGTAGAAGTTTCAGCGACTGTATCTGTGTGATCCTTATTTGACGTTGGTTTTCGTCAAATGAGAGGTCGTAAATCAGGGATACAACTTTTGTAACATAGATTTTCCCGCAAAACTATACAGCAGTATAGACACATTAATCGCTCCTGTTAAAATGAACTTTTATGCTTTTCCATAATACTTAACAGTCATCAAATACTGAGTCGATAAAACAAAACACCAGTAAAACCACAGTTTAAAATACCACATATTCGAGTGTCAAAAGCGAAGGCAACAGTTGCTTTTCTGTTACAAACCAATTGATATCTTCTGGATACTGAAGCACAGGTGGTTTTATAGTAAAAATTGCCCACAAGACAGAGTCCGGATAATAAAGGCAACAGTGGCTTTTTGTAAAACCCCCACATGGAAACGTCTCTAGAACAGACACATTATCGCTTCTGTTAAAATGAAGTGTCATGCTTTTCCATAAAACTTTACTGGCATCACATATTGGGTGGACATAACAAAACACCGATAAATGCACATTTTAAAATACCACATACTCGAATTTCAATATGAAAGCAACAGTGGCTTTTCTGTTAGAAACCTCATGGCATTGTCTGGATACTGAATCACAGGTGGCTTTTATGGTAAAAATGGCCCACTTGACGGAGACTGGATAATAAAGGCAACAGTGGCTTTTTGTTTAAAAACCACATTTTGGAGTCTGGATAATAAATGCAAATGTAGCGTCTTGTTAAAATTACTTATAAGACGAAACCTGGATAACAAAGACAGCAACTGTTTCTTGTTGTTGCTAAGTAACACATTTTTATCTAAATAATAAAGACAACAGTGGCTTTTTGTTCAAACACCACACGATATAGTCTGGATAATAAAACCGCCAGTGGTGTTGGGTTAAAGTGGCTTTGGGTTAAAGTGGCGTTGGATGAAAGTGGCGTTGGG